TTCTCAAAAATCATATCAGATAAAAGTGCAAATCATAATTACAAACAAATAGGTGCAAAACTGAACCAGGTGCAAAATTTGCGTTTTGGTTCAGATGATTTGCACTCAAACAAAAAAGAACCCTACCAAAAGTTTTAGGCACACAAATTTTGTGGAGAAGAATGAGAAGAGGAAATGAAATGTTAAAGCAGATACGAACACAAGAAAATATAGATTTGACAAAAATAAAAAAGACTATACTTGTAGGTAATTTCAAAGAGGTACTTTTATATAGATGCCTTTCATATACAGCAAGCATGCAACAAGGCACTAAAATAGCCATAGGATCAGTAGCAATACAAAGTTACAAACTATATGATCTGGAATACCTGCAGATGAACTTCTGCTGTAAGTAGTCAAATTGCATTCATTGAGGGATATGCCAAGCTTGATTGATTATACGCAAGTAATCGTAATTTTCAGTGGTCATTTTTCATATCAACCATTAATTTTGTAATTTCCAGTGAATGGACTGCACAAGTATTGCTAGAATGCCCTTTGGTTACAAGAAATACAGAAGCCTAACGCTTTTAGATACAGATACAGTGGCCACTGCATGTGAGAGAAAAGGTGCATTTAGTATTGCTAATACTAAGAAAATGTGCTTCAACTGGATTCTTTTCCACGATTTTGAACTTTCTATGTAAGTATATTCACAATAGCACCAGGAAGAATGCAACATATATTCATTGACCAAAGGGGGACCCGTACTGGAAATCCTTGTATTAGAACAACATAACTGGTTTTTATTTTCCTACCATCATTCATATTAATTATCAAAGGAAAAGGGATGTCATCCCAATAAAATTCATTGTACTATCCATCTTCAGAGGTTAACTCCAAGTTGCACCAAGACCAAGGGCTCCCATCTGAAAGCCAGTACAAATGATATTCATATCCCATCTGTGTAACTAAGATAAAAGGGAAAACATCTCACCTCTTCATGGACAACAAAGATTTTCAAATGGAAATACAAGGATCCCACATTTTAGTCCAATCCATATTCCATTGTTCTTTAATTTTGGACTCTAAATCTTAAATAAGTTAAAGGTTTATTAACTTGGATAGGAATTTTCTACCCAAAAAATTGAAAGAAGGGAACTACTACATGTGGGACTACAATAGAGAAACAGATGGGGAATAGTCAATACTAGAATCTTGAAATCAGGCTATGTCTCCTCCACACATCAAAAGAGAACCTTTGGTGAATAGCACATCGCCTGTCCAAGATAGAGATGATACTTTGGTGAATAGCACTTATGATATTCAGATCTGTATAGACTATAGAACAGTAGACTGGCAACTTAGCTTTGTAAGGCTATCCTCCAAGACAGAAAATACAGTGCAAGAGGGAATGTTTTGAGGGTTGAGCCCTTTATTCTATCTCTTCCACTATATAAAACACTAAAACTAGCCCTAGGATTAAAGACCTCAAACAAAAGCAAAAATACATCAATATCAAACATAAAGAATAATCCAGAAAGCACCCAGGAAAAGACTATTTAAAGTTTGGAACCTGTAGTTCCTTCAATGATGCCTAGATAATTGAATATAGCCATGTGGACAATTCAACATGGCAGGATAACTACTACTGGATACTCCTATCCAGAGGTGTAAGTCCAAACCTTTTGTTCATATTCTGTTCATTCCTATTTTTTTCCTGTTTTTGTCAGCAACAAGATACAAATGGTTTATTCTAACAAATTTTACAAATATTAGAAGTTCAATTGATTAGAAACTCAAGAAAGTGGAATGTTTTTTTTTATAATTAATAAGAAAGTGGAATGTTTTTTTTTATAATTAATAAGAAAGTGGAATGTTGAAAAGATTCCAAAGTTAAATGGCTTAAATCCAATAGTGTCCTTGGCATAGATAAAATTTTTAGGGGTAAAATAATTAATCAGATGCCCATGTTTCATCATTCAGCAAGTGAGTAGGTCTCAAGTTGCTGAAATACTGAACGACACATTATATTATTTTGCATTCCACTTTTAACTCTGGTTTCATCCATTATCAAAGGCCACTTAAGATGCTTCTTGGCCATCCAAGTTTGTTTTCCAGGTTAAGTAAAACACCAGGAAAATTAGGGAAAATATTCATTTTCTGATTGATTATCATTGCCAGGGAAATTATTTGTTTTCCTCTTCTTTACTTTCACCCAATTTGGATGCATTCATATCATGTGACATTGGAATCAAACTGGCATACTACCTGTCATGGTTGAGTTTGCCAAACGCAGACAGCGAACAAATTAATTGTCGCTCAAGTCTCAACCACAAGTGTTTACACTACACAAGGACCAAATGAGCCATTGCTAGTTGAGTGCTCAGTTCTGAAATGCTGAAAAGTTACATTTTTCTGTGATGGGTAATGTTGAAAAGTTACATCATTGACCAACTAACCTGTAGTACCAGAATGAATATAATCTAATTGTGGGATAATTCAAATAATTGTTGGTTTGTCATTAAAATGACAACAAATGAACTGAATAGAATTTTCAGGATTACATCCTTTTACATTAACATCTATGATTGCAAAGGCCTTTTGACTGTCAAATATGTTTATCAGAAATTTGTAATTTTCCTTTCAACACTATAGTTCTTTTTTCCAAAAGTCTGGTTATTTATGTTTTTTTCCATTTTTCTGAATAAAATACAAAGCAATAACCACAGTAAATTTGGTTGTGATCCTGATCTTCTCTGGTGGTTGGCCATATCTCAAGACTAGATCCAGGGCATCCCCCTGATCATTTTTCTGTTGTGTTTCCGCTTAAGAGACTGGTATCAGAGCAAGGCGTCATGGGTGACTTTGAGCAATTGAAGACTAGGGTTCATGATCTGGAGCACAAACTCGTGGAAAACAGCAAGGAGGTGCGCGAGATCAAGGACGACGTCCGAGAATTGAGGCGCTTGATGGAGTTATATTTTTTCAGTAAGGAAAAGAGTTCAGAAGGGGCTGCAACCACAGACAGCCGCCGACCAGACATGGCAGAATCGTCCGGCGAGCAGCAGGTCGTTGCCCAGGGAACCGCGATCGTCCCCAAATACAGTAGGCTGGAATTTCCTTCCTATAATGGAACTAGAGATCCCTTGGGATGGCTGTACAAATGTGAGCAGTTCTTCCGCAACCAACGGACAGAGGACAAGGACAAGGTAGGCTTAACCGCATTCCACATGACAGAGGAGGCGCAGCTCTGGTTTTATATATTGGAGCAGGAGGAACCTGGGCTCAGTTGGACCCAATCCAAATCCTACTACCTTCTCATATTCGGGCCCCCATTAACAAGCAATCCATTAGGCAAACTAATCAACCTCAAACAGACTGGAACTGTGGCTGAGTATCAGCACCAGTTTCAGACCCTCCTTACAAGAGCATCTTCGGTAYGACCAGACCAAYAGGTTRACATGTTCACCGCGGGGTTAGCGGAAACTTTGAGGGTGGATGTGGAGATGCAAAATCCCCCCAATCTGGTTACTGCTATGAATTTGGCTCGCGCTTTCGAACGCAAATTGCAACTCAACCGCGGAAGTATCAGTATAGGGCGGCCTCAAACAACATGGGCAGCCCCGAAACCACTCAGAATGGCTCCATCTTCAACAGCCAGCCAAGAACAGAAACCAAAACGAGCAACAATTCCAGATCGGCATCCAGTGTGGGAAGCAGCATTGTTGCACCCCCTATTAAGCGCTTGTCCAGGGCTGAGATGGCAGAACGCAGGGCGAGGGGACAGTGTTTTAATTGTGATGAACTTTACTCAGCAGGGCACAAGTGCAAGAGACTTTTCTACCTCCTAGTGGAACAAGAGGAAGATGAGGATGAACCCTCTTCATTGGAACCCGATCCAGGAGGGCAAAATCATTCCACCTATCCTGGATTCCTTTGACTGTGTTTCAAGACACCTATCCTGAATTCGAACTTGAGGACAAGCTCTTAGTCCAGGAGGGGAGTAATATTGTGGATGCTTTAGTTGGAAAGAAATACTGCAGCAGTAATGGGCGTTAGATTCAGTGTTCCTATCTTATCTTATCTAGATTCAGTGTTCCTATCTTATCTCTTAGCTAGATTCAGTGTTCCTATCTTATCTCTTAGCTAGATTCAGTGTTCCTATTAATTAGGCAGTAGCATTATTATTTCCTAGGTCTTTTAGAAATTTTCTTAATGTTTCTTTTAGAAAGTTTCCTAATGTTTTTAGAAAGTCTCTTAATGTTTTTTAGAAAGTTCTTTTTTAGAAAGTTTCCTTAAAAAGGACTCGTGTAATTCCTATTTAAGGAGCAGATGTTATTCAATAAACCCATCTAGAATTTCGATCAAGAAAGAGCAGAGGAGTGTTGGTGATCTCTTTAACAAATCACCATAAAGGCGCTAAAGATAGGTTCCTCAAAAAAAGGGAGAAACAAGGGAAAACAAGAAGTTTTCCCCGTTAACCGACCTGTGACGAGATCCTATTCACGGGCCCTTAACAGAGACAAGGAGAGCAGAGTAACTGAATTTTTAACATCCACTAAAGCAACCTCTAAACAAAAAGAAAAATACAAGAAAATATGTTATCTTCTTCAAATGATGATGATCAGAATGCAATCACATTAAAGTGCAGTAGATGCATTTTTTTACATTCATTACATATTATCTAGGTTGTAGAATCTTCTTTACATGACTAACAAAAGGCAGAACATGCCTACTTATTACTAAAATTTATAATCAAGAGGACTGAAGAGTACCACATGATGGACCTGATTGTGTCTAACAAAGAATTTGTATAAAAGCTAAAAGAAGAAATTCTGTCTCTTTACAAGATTTCTGTGTCTTCATTTAAATGCTTGAAGGAAATACAATCACCAATTTCTGCTTAAGTACCTGGAGAAAAACCAAAATTTAACATGAAAATGATGAAATGGTTATGATTCTAATAATCCTGATCAAGATATTAAAAAAGATCTAAAAACTCTTTACCTTCCTAAAGTACTCCAACTCTGGTGTTAATATTTCCTCAACATCCTCCACTGTCTGATGCACACTACCAGGGGGTAGAGGTTGATCCATTATTTTGCCAAGTACCTGTCAATAATCTCAGACCAATGCAATAACCATGAAAATTTGACAAAAAAGACTGTAATACAATCAAAGCAGATTATGCTTTACTAAACGCTGCCCAAGCAGACTTATACCCCTGCAGCCCTGCTTTACAAAAATAGATTCTCGTGTACAAAAAAGTGTTGTAATCCCTATCCATGAACAGCTTGTATACAGATAGCGAAGACATCACTTTGCCCACTATTCTCTGAAACACCGAGTCAATAGGGCTGCTCTTGTTCATGAAAATTCTTGCATCTCTCCTGTCATATACACCAAAAAACAGTTGCAGGCACCATGTTCCAAGCCAGTTTTCCTTTCATGGATAAACCCCCTATGCTCCAACCTCTTACAAAATCCATAACCAATTCCGGACAGCATCTTTTTACTTCAAACAGGTTCCAGATTTTGAACAAAACCTCTTGGGCAAAACTACAATGTAGCAGCAGATGATACACAGATTCCTCTTGAGCCTCACAGAAAACACAGTTAGTGGAGGCCACCTGCATCCCCTTTCTCACCAAATTGTCCCAGGTTAAGAGTCTATTCGGGCAAGCAAAGAAGGCCACCTTGGTGGGAACATTCTCACACCAGACAACCTGTACTGGAATGTTCTGATCTTTCGATCTTGAGATAGCATTATAGAAGGATTTAGCTGAAAAATTGCCAGATTTGTCCCATTTCCATGCTCTTCTGTCAGCACTCCCGAATGTCCACCTGAATATCATATAATTTTTGCAGCAACTCCACCATTGCCTCTACTTCCCTTTATGCATGTAACTAGTTCAAGTCTCAAAATTGCAAAGATGTCTATATGGCCACATACCCTTATCTACTTGATTTTAGCATGACTAAGATTGGAAAGGTTAAAATTGAAGTCCTAGTATCATCACATCTATTATCTTCATCATGGAAAAGAAATGGCTGATATAATCTCTAACATATGGTATTTACAAACTTGTGCAAGTAATTCATAGAGAAAGCAGATTTCGTGCAAACTGACAGCCTACTTTAATGTCAAACCACATATTCAAGAGTATAATAGTACATGTTTACTTTAACACGATACTGGCAATGAGTGGGTGAAAATTAGACATCCAACATTTCAATTCAGTGGAGAACAATACCAAAGACCAAACAATGATAAAAGCAAGAAAGAAATGTAGGAGCATAAGTGGAGGAAATATTTCATTCACATAGGCCAGGCTTAGCTTAATTCCCAAGTGGCTTAAAGTTGAAACACTAACCAGTTTAAAACCTTCATCAGAATTTGAAGTTTCCAGCCTCTGAAAGGTCATCCACTGGCACTGCTGTACCGCAACAGAAATTCTTATAATTGCACAGAGGATTCTAAATTTTTGTTTTACCTAGAAAAATGGGAGGAAGACATTAAGAAACACCTATATATATTTTATACATGTATTACGAAAAATAATAACAATATCTTGCAAAGCATAAGTCTTAACTTTAAATTACCTCCTTTGGAAAGTCCTGAAGAGAAGCATGACCCAATTTTGGGAACTTCTTCCTGTGATATCTTGCAAGGAGGGCTATCAGCTGCAGGCTTCAAAAAGTCATCAGCAATGGGTTCATGCTGAAAATATCCACCATTATGGATAAAGCTCAGCCATGGGGAAACAGACGTACCTCGACCTCATCAGCATTGTAACCATGGAGATGTTCACCATTCTATACAAGAAAAGAAATATCCTCAAGAACAAAGGACAGGAAATAGAACCATAAGTAGAAGCACAGACTAACTAGATTTTTTATGAATGCAAAACACCAAATTTTTGGCCATCAAGATAATTCTAAACCCATACCCACTTAAGAGCATGGATATTCAAATATCCTTCAATGTAAGAGCACATACCTTGATAATATGGTATGACTGTTTATGATATCCTTTTTTCCCAACAAACATTCCAATATTGTGGAGTAAACATGCAGCTTCAAGATATTCAAGATCTTTCTCATCCAAAGAGATACATTGTTGAGCAGCAGGATCAGCAGATAATCTGAGACCTTCAAAAATCTCCTGTTGGAAGACACTAGTTATGAGACATCCTGTGTTTCTACTTTTTACATGGTAATATAATAGTTTAATAAGACTCAATTTTCTTACATGCAACTTACCAGAAAATAAGATGCAATTTCAAAGTAATCCCATATTTTTTAAGCAGAACATGGGATAAGGACGAAAACTCGAAAAAGAACCATACGCAGTGCAACTGGAGAAACTATTATATGAAGTAGCAATACCTTTGCAATACATGCACAGCATGCAGCCATTTTCATCTTCTTCTCACTGTTAAACCTTGTGGCTAAGTGAACAACTGATCGCCACCTCGCATTCACCCTGACATTGTAGCCCTGACAAGTCCTTGAAAGAATTTCCGCGATAACCCCTTCTCCCAATGCATACCCAGAAACGGCCATCTCATCAATGCTAAGAATCTCAAATATTTCCAACAACAAAACTGCACCAGCAAGAATATATTCTGAACGTCTCTTGAAAAACCCAACTCTCCTCGCCTCTTCTTCTTCTCCTCCTTTATCCGGACTCACCAGCCTCTTGACTACATCACGCAATTCATCCTTACGGAACTTCCAATCCCTTCGGAACTCCCCAAAGGATGTGACAGCATTCATCAGATCACGAGCATAACCAAGGAAAACGGCTTTCTCAATAGACCGGATCGTACCTGAAGAACCAATGGCAATCTCAAAACCTATCTCCCTAACCTTCTCAACCAATCCAGATTGGCGCAGGACAGAGCGAATATGGTTCTGCATATCTACGATTTTATCATTCCTAATAAATGCTTCTGTCAAAGAAACATGGCCTAGCTTCAACGAGGTCCCAAAAATCACCTTCCCTTGCTTTCCTATAACGAATTCAGTTGAACCCCCTCCAATATCAACAGTGAGAACATTTTTGTCATAAACCGTTAGGAACTGAAGAACGCCAAGATACACAAGCCTAGCTTCTTCTTCCCCTGATAAAACATCTACCTCGAATCCTAGTTCCTCTCGAACCCTAGACAGAAACTCACCTCTGTTGGCTGCTTCTCTTACTGCCGAGGTGGCGACGATCCTGGTCTGGTCGACTTTCTGCCTCTGAAAGACCTGCCCAAATTTCTGTAACGCTGTAATGGCTCGGCGTTGGGCGTCGAGAGAGATTGTACCGCCACCGGCGAGCATTCCCTGGCCTAGGACGACGGGCTCCTTAAGGCGATCGATTGCGAGGAATTTGCCACTGGGTTCTGCTCGAACGACAAACATCTTAAATGAATTGGTTCCCATGTCGACTGCAGCAAGAACCTTTGAGGAATTCATAGGATTTGGAAGGTCGATCGCCATTGATTTTGTTGGTATGGGGCTCGGCTTGGCTAACCCCAGTTTTATGACTTTGTTATTCTTGAATCTTCATTGCGTGATTGTGGATTGTGGTGAAGAAAACCAAGAAAAATAAGCATAGCTGATGCTGACCGGTTTGTGATTGTGACTCTACTGTTCCAGTTTGCACTTTGTTGCAGTCCGGAAAACGGTTTGGGTTTGTGACGCTATTGTTCCAGTTTGCACTCTACTGTTTCAGTTTGCACTTTGCGGTCCAAAAAACTCATAGGAGTTTTCAGCATTTTTCTTAAATTCACTATAACTTTTCAAAATATTTAACTCACCATGTCACTAACTTGACTTTAAACAGACTAACGGGCATTAATATATTACTCTTTTAATTTTCATAGAAAATATAAAATAAATTAACGGGTATTAATATATTATCATTTTAATATTTAAACATGAAAAAAGGAAAAAGTTCAAAAAAAAATATTTTCAAATATAAAATACGTAAAAACATAAAAATTACAAAAAATATAAAAATTATAGAAATTGCAAACAAAATAAAATATTATTTTCAAATTATAGAAATTGAAAAACAAAATCAGAAAATAAAAACTGTAGAAAAAGCGCCAAAAAAATATAGATTTTAGAAAAATAAAAATATATAAAAAAAAGAAATTATAAAAACATTGGGAATTATAACAAAACATTAAAAATGCAAAAAACAAGAAAATTGAAAACTAAAAAAAGACTATTTTCCTCTAACTCACCATTCAAGGGTAATTTGGTCATGGAAGTTGTTATTTATGCTGACATGGACACCTCTATTAAGAAGCATTAACGTTGCACTAACAAAAGGTGAGTTAACATTAAGAAGCATTTACTGACATAGAGAGTTTTAGACATTTTGAAAAGTTGTGAGTTTAAGAGAAATATTGAAAACTCATGGTGAGTTTTAGACAATTTTCCAAAAAAGAATAAACTTCTGCACGAAAATTGACATCTATGCACCACGCGTGAAGTGGGGGGGTTAGGTCGGGTTTATGTTCAATCCAAGCCCAATCTTAGGATTTGAGTTTAAGGTCTAAGTCCAAACAAAGCCTAAGGTTAAATTCGATCTTTCCAACTCAAACCCAACGCGTACCATAATTTGATGCATTGAGGTAAGACTTAAGTTCGGATTGGATTTGGGTTGGAATTAGGTCAAGCCTAGTTTGGAATATTTATGAAATAGGCCCAAACCCAACCCATATAAAAGTTTAGACGAATGGGTAGAGCTATAAAATGGGTCGTGTTGGGCTGTGCAATATGCGCAAAGTGCAGGTCGTCCCGGGCCATGCCTCCCTCCATTGAGATATTTTGGGAGGTAGGCCCGGCACGGCCCACAGCTCGAGCCCGTGCTGTGCCATGTCATGCCACGGGCCAAGCTGATCTATGGGCCGAGCCGTGGACTGGACCAAAGCTATTTATTTAAAAAAATTGAAAAAACAAATCTTAAAATTTTTATTTTATATGAATTTTGATGTATACAATTATTTAATATACAATAATTAAATAAAATAGTATAATAAAAGTGAAAACAATTGGTTATTTTAGGACAAATTTCTTAAACTACCCTTAAGGTTTAGGAAATTGACTAACTCTACCCCTATTGTTCCACTATGGTCTTAATTCTTAAAGTATCCCTATTGTTCATAAAAATTGCTACAGTTGTTAAATATTGTGGCATACGAAAAGTTTGTTTTTCCCTTATGGTAAGAAAGGTCACGAAATAGTAAATTACTATTTTGGCCATTTATCTAATAACAAGACGTGCCAAAACTCCGATCAGATAGAGAAGCTAAGCCTGCCTGTTGGAGTAGAGAAGGTCGGTCTTCGTCGCCTGCAATGGACACCACTACAACTTCCCTCTGACGGTTCGACAGTGAGGAACCCTAAATTTATGTTGTTTGAAACCCTAAAACTGACCTATCAATGGTGCAACTTCTATCCGTGATGTTATTTAAACCCTAAAATGATATTCAATGGCGCTAAACCCTAAAACCGACTTAGTTAAATATGAGTTTTGTCTCTTTTATTTATCTTACATGAATTTTTTATATTTTCTTGCAATGGGATCAATAGAAGTCAGCAATCATATATATTTCTCTTGCAATATTCAAACAGTAAGGTATGCAAAGAGATTCTTGTACATCCTTTATCTAATGCGTCTAGTTCTGAAGTTCATTCTTAAAGGGACCATTTCATAGACATGAGTGCCTGTCTTTTTCATTCCTCATGTTTTGGTTTGGATAAAGTGGCTAGGGTTAGGGGACCGACCACTTCATCAGTGTTTCAGAGGGTTACAAGTGGCAACCCATGTGTTTGCTACAATGCACACATGGGTTCCACACGTGGGTAGCTCAAAGAAACACATTTGTTGGTGTACACAACATCAGGTGTTCGGTTTAATGCCTAAACCACCAAGTTTACATGTATATTTATATAGCATTTAACCAATGCCTCCAAAGGACAATAGATAAGTGCTAATGGGTAGCTGCCATGCTGGCAAGCCTTGCTCAGATTTCCCTAGCCCCAACATGTCCTACACTAACCCTAGACTAGGAATCCTAGGGCCTGGGTGTTTAGACATGGCCCACATGTGAATACACTTGAATGGATTTTCATGAATAGCTTTCAATTGTGTACTATTTAATGGGTTTTGATGCAGTAAATGTATAAAGGCAGGTATTTGTTCATTGTGAATCATGGTGGTCAATGGAAGACCATCAATGAGAAGTTGTTATATGTGGATGGTGAGGTGGGATATGTAGAAAACATTGATAGTGACCGGATATGTTTCCTAGACATTATTGAGGACATTTGCAAATTGACCGAGGTACCTAATGGCAATGTGGTGAATATCAATTATAAGATACCAAGGTGTGAATTAGAGGAACAAATCGGGTTGTTGGGTTGTGAAAATGACATGTTGGAAATGTTTGCTATTCATGGTGGGCTACGTGAGATAATGTTTTATGTTACATATGTTGATGCAAAATGTCTAAGTGTGGATGATAGGGGTAGTATGCAAAAAGTAAGTGCTGGTAGTGGTAGCAGTGGAAAGGACAAGGGAAAATTTGAGTATGGTGATGACTGTTGTCTTATTGATTCTTGTTCAGATGATGGTGCTCATGGTGATGAATATGGTGAGGAGTGTGATCAGGGAGATGATGAAGGGTTTGAAAGTGAGTGTGATGACTTGGATGTTGAGAATGTACCTAATGATGATGGTTGGGGTGTACAGGGTGTTGGTGTAAAATGTGGTACATCTGTGGATGGAGAAGGGAACAGAGGTGGGAATGGGGCTACAGCTGACCTATCAGACTATGAACTAGCAAGTGAGTATGATAGCCCGTCTGACAATGAATATGGTTTCAGAAGGGGAAAGGACTGCACACAAGGTCCGCATGAGTTTGACTTCTCCAATCCAAAATTCTTTGTGGGCATGATATTTGCAAATGTTAAGGAGTTTAGGGAGGCTTTGAGGCTATACTGTGTGGTGCAGGGCATTGAAATCCAAATAAAGAATAATGAGAAGTATAGGTTAACCAGTGTTTGTGCCAGTAATTCATGTAATTGGAGGATACATGCCTCCTTCAGTCATGATGGGGGTAATTTCATAGTGAAAACCCTGAATGACACAATACTTGTTTGAGGGTGACCACAAATAGGGAGGCAACAAATACTTGGCGATCCACCAAGTTAAAGGGTCTTTTAAGGGCTGATCCTAGCATGTTAGTCCATGTACTTAGATCTGAGATTAGACGGCTCTATGCAAGGTTCAAAATATTGTTACGTATCGGCCTATATTGGGGCCTTCCCAATATGCCCCTACAGGGGGTGTATCGAGTAAGGCCATGGTTCAAAGTATACCTGGGGCTTAAATCGACCCCTCTGAACCAGTTTTGAAAAAAATAAATAAAACATAAAAAAAAGCACCAATACAGGCTGATACGCCCTACCGGCATATCGGCATGTATCGATATTTAGAACCTTAGCTCTATGGGATAGAATCTTCATGGAGGAAGGTTAATAGAGCCCGTATCAAAGCTATTGACAGGATTAGGGGATCTTTGGACAAATCATATGCAAAGCTAACCCAACATTGCACCGCATTATTCAATAGCAATCTTGGGTCAATTGTTAAGTTGCATGCTCCAATAGCTATAGCAAAGGATAGGTTTGGAACTTTCAAGATAGTGTTCATATGCCTTGGATAACCAAAAATTGGTTTCCTAGAGGGTTGTAGGAAACTTGTTGGATTGGATGGGTGTTACACGAAAACTAGTGCTATAGGAGGGGTGATACTATCAACAGTGGAACTATATGGGAATAATAGTATATTCTCAATTGCCTATTCTATAGTAGAGGCTAAGAACAAGGAGATTTGGATAGGTTTTTGAATGAACTAAAGGATGCCTTGAGCATTAATAATCCACACAGATGGACATTTATGTTTGACTGGCAAAAGGTGTATATGTATGTTATAATTTCATTATATTTGTTATATTAATGGATTGTATTATATTGATCTCTGACAAACCCATTTGATTATTGGCAAGGTATAGTCAATGATGTTTCAATATGCATTCCTAGGCAAACCATTGCTTCTGTTTGTAGCACCTGTATAGCAACTTCAAAAAAGCATACAAGGGAAAGACATTGAAAGATGTTGTATGGACTGCCGGGAAGTCATACACACAAGATGATCTTAATCACCACATGGAAGTAGTCAAGAGGAACTCCAAAGAGGCCTATGATTGGATATGCAAAGTCCCCCCTAACACCTAGTCTACGCATGGGTTTGATCCCATTGTTAATTCAAATGACATTACTAACAATTGGAGTGAATCATTTAACTCATGGATAGGGGAGGCTAGAGCAATGCCAATTGTTGACATGTTTGAGGATATAAGGAAAAGATGGATGTAGAAAATATTCGAAAGGTTTGACACAGCTAAATCATTGGGGGGTGAGCTACTTCCAAAGGTGCAGTCCATCATTGATAAAAGGAGGGATGCTAGGTAATGATGACAAGTTCACTAATTCCATCTTTTATGTCTTTTGTCATGATACTTATTGTATATTATATTTGCAAATCAATGAGAGTTTTCCGGTGCGGGCAATATGAGTATTAGACTTTAGGGAGTGACTTGGTAGAGAATGTCACAAAGATGGATGCCAAGACATGCATGTGTGGGGTTTGGGACATCAGTGGCACCCCATGTGCTCACGCTCTTGTAGTGCTAACCTATACTAGGGGTAGAGTGGAGGAGCTCTGTGACAAAGTATTTCACAAGGACACATATGTGAAAGTATACAGTCATTTTGTACATGCCCTACTTAGTGAGAAATATTGGTCACCTATTGAACACATTCCAATTAGACTTCTGGCAATGAAGAGAAGACCAAATAGATTTCCAATCAGTAGAACGAGGGAGGAAGATGAATTAGGGCCATTATATAGTGTCCCATTAGAGCTCAAGACTGTTAGATGTTCCATATGCAATGGTTTGTGGCACAATAGATGTTCCAGAGGTAATATTGAGTCACCCCCACTAATGTTAATTCCCTTATTGATAAGCTCTAATGTCTAAAGTTGATTTTGCAGTTGTAGAGGCCTAATCTTGATCAGACTGGAAGTACCCGGTTGTTAGGAGGAAATTATTGAATCCTAGGAGGGGTGGTGCAACTACTCATGCTGTTCAGAGAACTTATGAGGTGATACCAACATATACAACATGTTCTTCGTCAAGTAGGGGAGCTAGAGGGATGCCTACCAATTCAAGAATGGGGTGGGGGGG